ATGCCCCACATTTCTCTTCACCCAAAAACTTGTTTTTTTTTTAATGAGTCAGCAAATACAGAGTTCTTGTCCTTGATACTTAACCTGTCAATCTCAACACATCTTTTTTTTTTTTTGGTAAGTGTTTTAAGGCGCTCGCAACTGCATAAGGTCATATGAGCGCACAGGACACATCGAACATTTTCAGTTGGTAGGAAATCTTGAATTTTGCGCGGGTGGCGGCCAAAGCTATCGATTTTGGGCCACAAAGGGATCTTTAATGTGCACAACTTGTACACGGAACCTCCGAGATTTTTCGCCCTTGTCCGAGAAGGCAAGGTGTAGACCTCACCTACCATAAGATCAGGGGTGTGGCAGAAAGACAGCAGAAAGAAGGAACAAAGGAGTAGCAGTAGAAAGGCGTCAGAAAGAGTCAGGAGCCCAGAGGAGGGGGCAAAGGAGGTGAGGGGGTGGGGGCAGAAAGTGGAGACGAAAGCAGACGACAGAACATTGTTAGAGAGCAGGAAAGGATGGGAAATGAGAAAATTTTAGAGAAGAAAATTTTCCGTCACTATTGGGATTCGAACCCAGGACCTATTAAATGAGAGGAGAACCTCTTAACGTATTCAAGATAGATGGGGGTATTTTTTTTTCCCTACAAGCAAGACAAATCAACAACAAGTTTTTAGATGATACCCAGAACTCCATACATATTTATATGCCCAAAAACCAACTAGCGCCCGATTCCAGCACGTCGTGAGACCTCTCTACCCCAGAATTACAAAGTTGTATCTGCTCAGAGCCTAGTTTGGAGAAATTTGACGGTAAAAATGTTGAGTTTCACAACATGTCAAGCCTTTTCGAAGGCAATTCTTTGAATATCTTGATAACAACTCCAGATAATCTTATGATTTTGATGGAGCAGAGAGAACATTTAATTTCTGGCCTGATGGTCTTAGTCTTAGTACAACTAAGAATGGCCAAAAATATCAGAAAATTTTTTGTAATTCTGAAGTAACGACATATATTATACCTGTGCCTGTACTTGGTTCTCTGTTGTGTGGTCATCGGAACCAGCACTTTTTTCAAGTCGTGCCAGTTCCCCATGAACCTGAAAAAAGAAACACGTCTGATGAAACTATCCTTTCATAAATGGAGTTCATGTAGAAATTTTATCAAACCTGATAATTATTTCTTTTCAAAATGGGGGAGGGTGCGGGGCGTCATGGAACAATTCAATGCATTTGCTCAATTTGAAAAAGTAACTGCTCAACATTTCACTCATTCAAAAAAAATAAATGTTCTCCAAAAAGTGTAGGCCTACTGTCTGACAGAACGGTAAAATAATCAATAATCTCAATTCTGTAAAAACCTTATCAATAAAATTGGATGAGGCCCATAAGCAACACACATTAATATATATATTATATTATTATATGTTACCCTCAATGATTAAACAACTGTCAGCTCTTTGCAAGTCAGTATGTGGGGTGATAGGCATTCCTTAACAACTAATAACCAAGACCCATCATCAAAAAAGTTTACATCAAGTTTTCAGGAGAAATATTTTTTTTAAAAATAAGTTGCTTGAAACTTGTCTCAACAAACTCTTACGGAATAGGCTACCCAGGGCGCTACGTCAACAATCAAATCCAGTCAAATTGAAGAGGGCCAGCCAGATTTATTGTGTATGACTATAAAAATAAATAGGGCCTACCAAACATGTAGGCGTACTTGAACTGAGCATGAGACAGGCGTGCAGACGAAAGTTTTAATATAATACCAGAATTTCAAGCACAACTGTAATACTAATACTAATTATTAAGGCCACCTTTATTCTCACCCCGGGTGAGAATAACTCGGGTGAGAATAACTCATATGTCTCGCTATTCTCATCCCCCCCCCCCCCTCCTCTGGTGAGAATAGCTCCCACCCCGGTGTGGGCATGAGGCAAGGACCACCCCCCACCCCCCGACCCTTCGCAGGCTGATAAAATAACCTAGGCCCTTCGTGGCTTACAGCATGCGGTTGGGAACGAATAACAATAATGTAAAAACATTTTTCGCCTCTCAAGTTAAAAAAAGGCTCACTACCGACACTGAGTGGGATGTGGGACCGGCCGCCGCCGGACCATTCGTTGTTTACACACTTATCTATGGTTGGCCTCTCTGCACACAATCATCAATGCATTATGGTCCAAGGAACAAAGGGCGTGTACGAACGTAACGAGACACAAGCACGAGACCATGCTCTTGCACGACGGATGAAGGGTTGTAAATTATTCAGACCAAATGGAAGAGGGCGTTAAATCATGTTAACTAGTTTAATAATTTTAAGCAATCTAAGCTCTTTTTTTCACTTTCATTTCTTCCTTTATTCTTTCTTTTTTTTTTTTCTTGCCTTTTCTGTCCCCTCTTTTTCGACCTTTGGAGTTTGGAGCCAATTTAAAAGAGCCAGAGAGCCAAATGAAATCGTCCAGGCCAAACGCGATCCAAAAGAGCCAAAATTCTGGGATTTGGCTCCAATTTGACAGCCCTGACTGTGACTAGATCTATGTCTATTCAGACACCAACATGATCCTGCGGAGCATCAGCCCCGGTAACCTCAGCCCTGATCCCTCGTGGGTCATTTCCGGTAAAACAAGGGAGGGGGTGAGAAAAGCGAGACATAGATTTAGATCTAGATTATTCTCACCCAGTAATGCAACGTCCAAAGTCGATTGGGCTTGAGCCTAACCTAAATCTAGATCTAAGTCTATAGTTCTATACTCTGACTATAAGCCTTTTCCTTTGGCCTCCCCAAGCTTTTTTTTTTGGCCACTCTGGGGTTAAAAACCATTGGGTGGACAGGGAAAGGGGAGGAGCCGGGGGGGGGGGGGGGGGGGACTGACGACAGAGGCCTAGATCTAGATCTAGATCTTCTTTGAGTTATGTAAGTTGATAGTTGATGCATGTAATATTGTTCGGTTTGTGGGTACAAACAGATATAGAGAGAGTGAAGAAACGCACGTCTGAAAAGGCTCTTTGGTTTTATTATAGTCTTGTAGTACACTGTAACCGAAAAGTGACTACTGAGTAGAAGAAAGGTACTGTCTAAATCCCGATACGTACCTAACAGTTATAACAGAAGAGTTACGTGTGATGTACATTATTCCACAATGCATAGCAAAATAGCCACTGAATTTCTGAATTTGAGAAGTGGGTGGAGGTCTGCTGGCCTTGAAAAGCATAGGCCATGATAGGCCTACCCAACCTACACATAGATATATCTAGCCTAGATCTAGATCTACTTCTAACACTAGATCTAGAATCTAGGCTCTAGGCCAGGCTGAGTCGAAGTCAGGTGAAAAAAATTTAAAGGTCTTATCGTTAAGTTAAGATATCAAACCTAACAACTGCAAAACATCAAATTTTTATCATGGTAAAATCAGGGCACTTCGTGAGTAGATCTAAGTCAAGTCTTCTTAGCCTTAGGCCTACCTCTTGTAGTAGTTTATTCGTTTGGTGATATAACGTTTCCATGCTGTCAAGACAACAAATATTCAATGCCGGTGTCTTCACTCAAAACGTTATGGAAATCAATCAATCATATGTTATGAGACGGATCCAAAACAGTGTCACACGACGTGTCTTGTTACGTTAGCCGACAGCCGACACCTGGAAGCAAATAGAGGTGGCCAGGCAATCTGTGTTTGGCAAAGTTTCGGTTCACACAAACGCGATCAGTCCGAGGAACTTGTGGGCATCATGTTTTCGACTTTTTTTCCAGTTTATTTTTTAATCACAGATAAACATCGGTTGACTTTTTAAATTTTTTAGAGGTGTTTAGTTTGAAAGGTCTATTGGTATCATTTACTGATCTAATCACCCTAAAATACAGACTCAAATATAAATGAAACCACACCTTCACGCAGAATAAAGGGCGAATTGGCATTAAGTTTTCTTTTAATAGAAAACGGAAATTCTCCTTTTCCGCTTTCGTTATTGAGTTCGACCAGTCGACCTACCAAATACAGTAATTATAGCCCAATCTTTTATGGCCCATGAAAAATACCTGTAAATCACGGGTTGTTCACTTCTGTCTGAACGCGCTTAAAACTAGATAAAAATGAAATCGCTCTTTTTAATCTGCTCAAGTCGTTGCATGCTGGACTAAAAGTTGGATGACCGACAGAATCTAGAAGCTCGTTCATAGAAGTCACTACCAAAAAATAAGGTTTCGACGTTTTGGTTGGGGTTGTTTGTTTTTTGTTGTTGTTCTTTTCTTTAACATTGAAAAGCTGACATATTTTCTTCATCCTACACTCAGCCTCAGAAACAAGGTCAAGCTACACACACCAGCGAGCCAGCTGACTAGGGCCTCAGCACTTGCCGCATCGCACACACCCTCACTGTGCGTGCGCCGTGCCGCGCGAGATGTGTGCGGTCACCAGCTCCACGCTACGCACCGCCCCGCGCACACACGGTGCTCCGATGTGCTGCCTGCCGCCGTTTGTTAGCCTAGAAGAAGAACTATCGCCAGCTTCAGGCTGACAACTTGAGAACGTCGAATCAAAATCAAAGATCAAAGACTAACTCTAACAATACTATCTAGAGTTGATCTAAACCCAGACGGTTCATTTCATGTGGTGTTTAAAGTAAGACTAGTGCCGTACGTTCTGTTAATCTTTCTTTTTTGATTCGCTTTACTCTAGTAAGTGATACAGTGTGAATTTGAGTACGGTAAAAATAATAATAAGCTGCTACCGTACATCTCTAGCTTTTTCTCGTCTTGTTTTCAAGATGGCGTCTTCCAGGGGAAAACGTGTAGCGAGCAGTGAGGTTTTAGATCGCTATTTTGCTGACGGTTCTGGTGACGAAGGGGATTTTGACGACGCTGGTGGGGACTTGGATGATCATTACAATGATTCTGATATATTTGATGATGATGATGATGATGATGATTCCTTTGTTGAGAATTTGGAGGCAGGCATCAATGAGTCAAGTAAGTCTGCGTCGTCTTCGAGTCTGTCTGTTTCTGGTTCCGGAGCAAACAGAACTAACGATGACGTGATTTCCGGTCGTGGTGATTCTTGTAGCGTGAAGACAGAGGCATGTGCGTGTACGGTGAAGACAGAGGAAACGGAATGGGGAATAAAAACAGAGGATGGTGAGTGCAGTGTGAGCACGGTTCCAGAAATTGGATTGTCTGATGATGAAGAAATGAGTGATGATGATTTCGTCGAACCTGACGAGTATGTTTACCGACAAGACGACACAGATAGCCAGATGGATCTGACTTCACACCAAGACCAAGCGTCTCATTCTGACTCGGACAGCGAAGATCAAGATGAGGACTGGGTTCACGACACACAGAACTTTCCCAAAGTTCCTCCATTTTCTGGTCAGCCTGGACTCAAAATAAATCTCTCCGACGACTCAACAGCGCGAGAGGTTTACAAGCTGATAATAACAGATGATGTCATCAACAAATGGACGGTGGAAACAAACAGGTATGCCCGCGAGACCATTGGCTTGAAAAAAAAAGCAGCCGCCAACCTGTCAGACAGAAGCAGGTTCAAGTCGTGGAAGCCAGTGACGTCACAAGAAATGCGTCGTTTCCTGGCCGTCTGCCTGCACATGGGCTTGGTGCACAAACCAACGCTCAACCACTACTGGTCGCTTCACCCAGCTCTGCACAGCTCTTTCTGTGCCAAGGTCATGTCCCGGGAACGGTTTCTGTCCATCCTGGCATTTCTCCACGTCTCCAACAATGCCGACTACATCCCGTATGGAGAAAAGAACCACGACCCTATACACAAAATCCGACCGTTTGTGGAGCACCTGAACCACACGTTCATGTCCCTGTATGAGCCTCATAGAGAACTCTGTCTCTCAGAGTCTGTGTGCCCCTTCAAAGGACGGTCAAGATTTAAAGTGTTCATGAAGAACAAGCCGGCCAAATGGGGGTTCAAGTTGATCCAAGTGTGCGAGAGTAAGAGCGGATACGTGCAGCGCTTTGAGATGTACTGTGCTGACAAGCGAGTGAGCAACAAGCCAGTTGAAGTCGTGGACAGACTTCTGGAGCCGCTCAAGGACAAAGGACACCATCTCTATCTGGACAAGGCCTACTGCTGCCCGCAGCTCTGGGATCGTCTACACCGGCGCCGCACCATGATGTGTGGGGCGTGCAGGAAGAGCTGTGCTGGGATGCCGGCCGCGTGGTTCCAACACAGGCAGAGTCCGGGGCAGCTGGACTACAGGAGGAAGGGTCAGTTGGTGGTCACCAGGTGGACGGACAGGCGAGAGGTGGTCACGCTGTCCACCATACACCTCCCCCAGCTGCAGGGAACGCACGGAAGGTTTGGAGCCAAGGACAAGCCGGTAAGTGTCACTGACCACGCCAAGCACACGGCTGGCCTCGCTCGCTCAGACCAGGTCGTCTCCTTCTTCCCCATGAAAAGGAAATCACAAAAGTGGTGGAAAAAACTTTTCTTCCACCTCCTCACCCTGGTCAGCGTCCAGACGGCGATACTGCTGAATAAACACCGCAGGTCAAAGGACAGGAAGGCCCTCACTCTATCGACCGTCGTCAAAGAGATCGTGCTGAGCTTAGTGGATCAGCAGCAGCAGACGCTGGAGACGACAGCGAGCGACACAGCCAGCCTCCCAAATGACCGGCTCAGTGGGAAACATTTCCCCTCGTGGTGCCCACAGACTCCGGGCAGGACCGCCCACTCTCGCCGCGTCTGCAAAGTGTGTATGGTCAAGGCGAGACAGAGCGGGCAAACAGCGGCACAGAGCAAATGCCGACGACGACTCTCGCGGTTCTGGTGTGCCTCCTGTAAAGTGGGACTCTGTCTCGAGGGCTGTTTTGAGGCATTTCACACAAAGGTGGATTTTACAAAGTAAACGTCCGGAATGCACAACATGTAGGCTACATGTATAAATCTACCGGGACTATGGGGAATATTAACAGAATCGTGTGTGTGTGAGGAGAGATGTGTGTGTGTGAGTGTGTGTGTGAGGAGAGATGTGTGTGTGTGTGAGGAGGGGTGTGTGTGTGTGTGTGAGGAGAGATGTGTGTGTGTGTGTGTGTGAGGAGGGATGTGTGTGTGTGTGTGTGAGGAGGGGTGTGTGTGTGTGTGTGTGTGTGTGTGTGTGTGTGTGTGTGTGTGTGTGTGTGTGTGTGTGTGTGTGTGTGTGTGTGAGGAGGGGAGTGGGGCACACATACATGTATGTGTGTGAGGGGAAGGGGGCGCATACAATGTGTGTGCGTGTATGTGTATGGAGGGGGGAGAGAGGAGGGTACACATAACATGTATGTGTGTATGTGTGTGTGTGTGCGCGTGCGTGTATGTGTGTGTGTGTGTGTGGAGAGTGGAGGGAGGGGGGCACACATACATGTATGTGTGTGTGTG